TTTTTAACTTAAGTATCAACAAAGCACGCCAGTCGTTTATGTACTGTCGTTCACCCCGGTGGACGAGCGGCTAGCCACAATCCGCATCAAGGCGAGATTTTCAACGTCTCGCTCATCTTCGCCCATGCGCCGACGGAGGAGAAGGATGAGCCATCCAAGGATCTCTTCTATGAGCGCTTGGAGCGCACTTACGAGCGCTGCCCCCGCCATGATATCAATCTCATGCTTGGCGACTTCAATGCCAGGGTCGGAAAATTCAGCCCCCACGACGAAACGTCCGACAACGGACTGAGGCTGGTCGACTTCGCCGGGTCCCGAAACATGGTAGTATGCAGTACAAGGTTCAAGCATGAAAAGATCCAGAAAGCTATGGGGCTGTCTTCGGATCGAAAAACGAGAAACCAAATCGAGCATGTTGTGATAGACGGAAGGCACGATTCAAGTGTTTTAGACGTACTCACACTCCGTGGCCCAAACATCGACTCGGACCACTATATTGTTGCAGCCAAGATACGCACCCAACTCTGACGGGTTTATTTATTTTCCACTCGACTCTCCCTGAGAGCACTCTTCAACAATCCAACATACACGAGCATTGGAACCACATTTCTCGTTCATTAAGTACCGCCGAAGAAGAAGTAGTCGGATTTCAGCGAGCCCGATATAAAAACTGGTACGACGAGGATTGTCAAGAAGCTGCAGAGAAAAAATACGCCGCCTACAGGGCAACGCTGCGAGCGCGTGCATTTGCCGCAATAAAAAAAGAGAGGACGAAATACGCGAGTGCGAAGAGCTTGAAATGCTGGCCGACAGGAAAAATGTAATAACAACAATGGCGACCATGTTACCGATGTTCAGAACGTACTTAAATTATGCAGGGAAAACTTTTCCACCCTACGGAAAGCACGGAAAGTTGTGGAGAAGAAAAACTCGAGCCCCCAGTCGATGATGACGGATGCGATGTTCCACCGCCTTTCTATGACGAGGTAAGAATAGTAATATCGCGGCTGAAAAACAACAAAGCTGCTGGAGCTGACAGCCTGTCAAATGAGCTATTCAAGTACTGCGGCGAAGAGTTGATAAGGTGCATGCATCAACTCTTACGCAGAATTTGCTCCGATGAACGCATGCCCGATGACTGGAATTTAAGTGTGCTCTGCCCAATCCACAAGAAAGGCGACCCCGCCTGAGCATATGTTACAAGGTCTTATCGAGTGTATTGTGTGAAAGACTGAAGTCCACCGTCAATGAACTGATTGGGCCTTATCAGTGTGGCTTTAGACTTGGAAAATCCACCATAGACCAGGTATTCACAATACGCCAAATCTTGAAAAAGACCCGCGAGAAAAGAATCAACACCTATTTGTCGACTTTAAAGCCGCTTTCGACAGCACTAAAAGGAGTTGCCTATACGCTGCTATGTCTGAATTTGACATCCCCTCCAAACTCATACGGCTGTGTAAAATAACGTTGGACAATACCACCCGCTCCGTCATAATTGGGAAAGACTTCTGCGAGCCGTTCGCCTTTCAGACAGGGCGACTCCCTTTCATGTGACTTCTTTAATCTGATGTTGGAGAAGATAATAAGAGCTGCAGAACTGAACCGCCCAGGAACAATATTTTACAAGAGCGTGCATTTGCTGGGTTACGCCGATGACTTCGACATCATCGGTATCGAGAACCGCGAAGTCTGTTTTGCCTTTTCCAAGTTGGATAAGGAAGCAAAGCGAATGGGTCTGGTGATAAACGAGGACAAGACGAAGTATTTCAAAAAAAAACAGTCCGCACATTCGCCCCTTGGCACCCACGTCACTGTTGACAGTTATAATTTGGAAAAAATGGAGAATTTCGTTTACTTGGGAACCAGCATTAACACCAATAATAATGTCACCATAGTAATGCAACGCAGAATCACTCTTGCCAACAAGTGCTTCTTTGGACTGAGTAGGCAATTCAGGAGTAAAGTCCTCTCTCGACGTAAGAAAGCCACACTCTATAAGTCACTCATCATTCCCGCGCTGGTATATGGCGCAGAAACATGGAAAATGACAACATCCGATGAGGCGGCTCTTGGAGTATTCAAGAGACAGATTTTGCGGAAGATTTACGGGCCTTACCCGTTGGCGAAGGCGAGTACCGCAGACGATGGAATGATGAGCTGTTTGAGCTTTACAACAACATGGACATAGTGCAGCGAATCAAAATAAAGCGGCTCCGCTGGTTTGGCCATGTCGTTCGAATGGACACCGACGCTCTAGCTCTGAAAGTATTGAACTCGCAACCCGCTGGTGGTAGCGGAGGAAAAGCGAGGCCCCTACTGCGATGGAAAGACCAGGTGGAGAAGGACTTGGCTTCAGTTGGTATTTCCAATTGGCGTCAGTTTGAACAGAACATAAACGACTGGCGTGCTTTGTTGATACTTAAGTTAAAAACGACTTTTTAATGCACTTTTGGGGTATTCTACGAGCAAGTGAACCTTTGTGTCCAATTATAAGGTTCATTGTTAAACATGTATGACTTGTTAAATCAGTACTCAGTAACTTAATAATAATATAATAGATTGGCGCTTACACATTTGTTAGTCTTTGGCCGAGCTTCTCCTCCGATTTGTGGTGTGCACCTTGATGTTGTCACACAAACAGGCGCTGCGGAGTGGAAGCGCGCACTACTTACCACTGCACCACAGCGCCTGCCATACTC